TGGTTGGATCCCATATGGCCGACTGTGTGATTCAAGTCCTGGACCCAGCAGCGTGAAAATCATTCCCGCCCCAAATCCTAAGAGGACAATGGAGAAGGGATTCAGTGTGGCCATCCCCCTGGAGGGTGATTAGTCTCTCTTTCTTGATCTGGTGAACACACATACCCTTTAGTGAACTAATGATAATGATAATAAAAAAAGTTGTTTATAATAGAGTCCATTTCTGTTTTTTAGTTGAGTTGAGTGGCACAAGATAACATTTTCAGTTTTGTCACAGTGGTATTTGTCTTGCTTCCTGTTATATTTTAAACTGTATGAAAGTATACAAATTTTTTTTTTTTGGAGAGATTTTCACTGTAGGGCGCGTGCGCTCGCCAGACAGACAGAGAGAGACATAGAGACAGAAAGTGAGAAATCACCCCCCAGGGGGGATGGTCACGCCGCAATCCCTTCTCCTCCATTCTCCTCTCGGGATCTTGGGCACGCACGCACACGTGCCCGGCGTGAGTTTTAAGCCACCGGGTCCGGGACACGAACCACGGTCGACTACGTGGGAGTCCAGCGACATAGCCATTACGCTAACTGCTGGTTCCCAAAAGTATACAAATTTTTTTTAGGGGGAGAAGTTTTTACTCTAAGGCATGTGCACTCACCAGATAGAGAAAGACAGAAAGCGAGAAATCACCCCCCAGGGGGGATGGCCATACTGCAATCCCTTCTCCTCCATTCTCTTCTCGGGATCTTGGGCATGCATGCACACGTGCCCAGCGTGAGTTTAAGCCACCAGGGTCCAGGACTTGAACGGCGGTCAGCTACATGGGAGTGCAGTGATAGAGCCATTATGCCAACTGTTGGTCCTAAAAGTATATAAATTTTATACCTTCAGTTATTTTCAAACTCTGCCATGGGCCCTCTGGCCAATGCCCGTTGACTAGTTTGGCAGCTACTTGGCCAGTGGTGCCATTTCACCGTGTTACGTGAAATGCCGTTTCCACGTGATGAGAGCATTTCGGCCTTGCTGTGTCGGTGAGCACGTTTGTCCTGTCTACGTTCACCAAGGTGTCTGCGCACTATGTTCTGGGGAGATGACCTGCCCAAACCTCTCTCTTAATTTCTATGTGCAAAGAGATTGTCCAGAGATAGGCATGTCACAGCAAACTAAGCAGCCAATGCTCTGCTGGGCCCTGTGGCCCTGATTTCTAAAGTGCATTCAGATCACCTGGGAATCTTGTTAAAACACAGAACCCGAGGGAATCAGCAGTTAGCATAATGGCTATGTCGCTGGACTCCCATGTAGTCGACCACAGTTCGCATTCCGGACCCGGTGGCTTAGAACTCACGCCGGGCGCATGTGCGTGCGTGCCCAAGATCCCGAGAGGAGAATGGAGGAGAAGGGATTGGGGTGTGACCATCCCCGCTGGGGGGTGATTTCTCACTTTCTGTCTCTATGTCTCTTTCTGTCTGGTGAGCACACACGCCCTATAGTGAAAATCTCTCAAAACAACAACAACAACAACAAAACAAAAACACAGAACCCGAGATGCCCCAGTTTTTAACCAAGTGAAGCTGATGATGTCAGTTGGACCACAATTTGAGGAGCAAGGCACTGAACTACCCAGTTTTCTTAGATCTGGAGGCAAAATCTGATTTTATTCCAAAGTCAAGGGGGGAAAAAAAATTTCCTCCTAATTTTCTTATTTCCTTTGAGTTTTAAGGTTATCTGAGCATAAAAATCAGGTTTGATATAAACCAAATTATATGTTCTTATGCTTCTAAACAAAGGTATCTAAAAAAAGGTATCTAAAAAAGTTTTTTTTTTAATGTGTTTCCATTTAAGACCCAGATCTATTGGTTCAGATAATTTATTTTCTCCTTGGTTTCAACCTTTTTGAAATTTATTCCCCTTCTATAGATGATATCAGGGAGTTTCTCACTTGAAACTCCTAGAATCTCTGGCCATCAGAGAGCTGCCCAGCGTCCAGCCCCATCTTGGCATAAGGACGTACATGTATAGCCTCTTTGGTCAGTGTAAGTTAAATCCAGAACCAGAACTCTAAGCATTAAAAAGACCAAAATGAGATTTAGGCTTGTTCTGGAACTAGTCCCTTAACCTAGTGGCTCTATTTTAATAAGATCACATTGAGGGCAGAGAGTTCGGGCTCTGCTGGGTTTACTCAGAGCTCTCTGCTTCCTTTCCCCCGTACTCTTCCACTTACTGTAAGCCACACTCAGTTTTGTTCTAACACGGAGATACGTAGTACTTAAAACAGAGGCAAATTTAAAACGCCGACACTTGGGGGCCAAGATTAAATTGCTCAAGAGTAAAATGAACGAAACATGGTCAAAAATGGACCATGTTCAAAGAAAAAGAAACGATACTGCCTGGCAATTCAATGTAAGTGACCAGAATACCGTTCAGTCTAGGAGCGCATTAGCAGGGGAATGGCACCTAGGATGAAGGAGGCGATGGGCTTCCTGTCTGTTGTACTGGCACAGCCGAACTTGGAGCAGCGCAGTGTTCAGATGTGTGTGTGTGGCTGAGAGTCAGAGAAGGTGATGGTGAGACATAAGGAAGTGTGGTCATGATTTATGAAAAACAGTGAAAAAGATCAACAGTTTGCAAAAAGATAAACTGAGGTGGTAAGGGAGCTACAAAGTGTGCTATAAATTCGAAGAAATGTGGGTATTTAGTTTTGAAGTATGTGCATGTGAGTTTGGGAGTGGAGGTTAGTAAAACCTATCAATGATAGGTGAATGGGTGTGGGTGGATAAATAGATGGCTAGACGGACAAATGAAGGCAGAGACAGGCTCTCTGCTGGGTGCATCTGAAGTTCCAGACTCTGCAGAACACTCTGAAGACAAGATACTTTCATTCCCCAAACAATCCTTTGAAATTAGTATTCACATCTCCATGTTGAAAATGGTACCTATGAGGTACAGGGAAATTCACTGACCTGCCCAAAGTTATTGACAGATGTCTCCCTCCTTTGTGCTCTAACCTGGTGTAAGATTTATAACCTGGTGTCAGGGCCAGTGGGTGGCATAGTGGTTGAGGTGCTGGTTGCCCACGTGGCTGACCATGGTTTGAGTCTTGGACCTGGTGACTTGAAACTCACACTGGACACATGGGCATGCATGCCCCAAATCCCAAGAGGTGAATGGAGAAGAGACTGCAGTGTGGCCAACCCCATGGGGGGAGGTGTGTGATTTCTTACCTTCTCTGTGTCTCTCTCTGTCTCCCTGGTGAGTACGTGTGCTCTATAGCAAAAACATCACTAAAAAAAAAAAGAAGAAGAAGAGATTTATGACCTAATGTGTACACTGCTCAGATCTCCCTTAGAGAAAGAACTGCTGGCCAGCAGCAAGGAGTGGAGCTAGCCGGCAGTCTCCAGCTATGAACTCTCCTGGGGTCTGCTTCAGCATCCTATCAGAGACCATGCTGTGTCTGAGGAGGCCTAGCCAATGACAATGCATGGCAGGGGTCGCCGGGCTGACATGTCTGCCCACGCGGAGCTGCTCTAACAGACCGTCTTTTATCTGGAGGGTCCTGTTGCATGCTCACGGACTAGCAGATCAGCCCACTCTACCCATTTCTCCCTCCTCCCCTCTTTTACTGATCACTGGAGGTATTCCAAATAAACCATTTTACCCCAATCCATTTCAGCGTTTACTCTGGAGAGGACCCGACTGACACACCCTGCCTTAGACATTCGGAGTGTGGCTCCATGGAAGAGTCTTCAGTACTGTTTTGTGCAGTGGTAAGGGCTTGAGCTAGGGAAAAGTGACCGAATGACTAGGGAAGCAGCTTTCACATAGACATAAGGAAGAGCTTCCCAAGGATGAGAACCGTCCAGCAGTGGAAAGGGCCACCACATGATGGATGAGTTCCCGGTCACCGCGGTCATTCTGCCAGAAGGGAGCTGCTCGTCCTGTGGAGGCCATGTGGCATGTGCCTGTCCCCATGCCCATCTGTGCTGGAGCAGCTAGGGTGTTAACATCCACAGTGTTCAGGAAGTTGCACCAGAAAGACCAAACCTTCTGTTTTCCAGTGGCTCAATGGGTCTGGTTAAAAAGACTGCATTCCAGCGATTGGCTCTGATGAAGTTCTTGTGATTCCTTCCACTGATGCACGGTTCTCGAGTTCAATACCTTACATAGAGAGCCAGGAAGAGTCTCTTCCTCCTCAAAACTATCCAGTCTCTCCTTACATGAGTAATCACACATCTCATATAGTAAAATAAGTGGGAAAGTGTGGTAGGAAAAACAGCAGCGGGATCAGCATATGAGATCTGCATATGAGGAGACATTCATTAGGTGTGAAAATACTTCCTGAGCGCCTACCAACAGCTAGACACAATGATGCTGGACACGATGATGGGCTCAACAGAGTCCCTAATGTCAGGGAACGTGTATTTACATATCATTGGAGGGACCAGCAGATGGTGTAATGGTTATGTCGCTGGACTCCCACGTAGTCGACCGTGGTTCAAGTCCTAGACCCGGTGGCTTAAAATTCATGCAGGGCACATGTGCATGCATGTCCGAGATCCTGAGAGGAGAATGGAAGAGAAGCAACTGCGGCATGGCCATCTCTCCTGTGGGTGATTTCTCTCTGTCTTTCTGGCAAGTGCATGCACCCTATAGGAAAAAAATCTAAATAAATAAATAAATGAAGCTATTGGGAAACTTGGTTGACCCTGCACTGACAGAAGCAACCACCCATGGTGATCCTGAAGAGAGTGCTAAGGAGCCTCTGAACTCCTCTCCCCTCACCCTCAAACTCTTGCAGCATTCCTGGCACTTACATTTCCGTTTTCAAAAAATATTTTCTTATATTCATAGTAGTCTGATGCAAATTCATAGAGTTTGCAAGAGGCATTAAAAAAAAAAAAAGCCAACTCAGCAATATTTGGGGGCTTTTAAAACTGATGATGTGGCTGACCTACTGGCGACACAGGCAGGGGGAGGGCCCCTCTTGGGGTAAATAAATAGAAGTGTGTGGCGCTGCAACCCCACAGCTGGGACTCAGAGCTGGAGCCTGAACTCCACCTCCAGGCAGAATGAGGCACGCCTCGGCATCCCTGCTGCTCCTGGTGCTGGTCAGCAGCCTGTCTCCAGTGCATGGTGAGAACTTTCACTTACGTTTTCACTGTCCTTTGAGCAGAAATGGTCCTCACTCATTTCCATTTTTTTTTTTTCCAATTTAAAATTGGGAGGAAATCTGGCTGAAGGGAAGAAAAAAAAAATTAAAAAAAAAAAAAACTCCATTGCTTCCAGATTTCTATAAGGAAGTTGCTAAGACTTAACACTTAGAACCAGATGCATGCGTGTTATTCAAGGTTTTAGTCATAGAAGGAGGAGATACTGGAAGCCCAGTGTTCATGTGGTTTATATTTGGTGTGTATATGCCTGGTCTTTTTTAGATTCAGCTGCTGTGATAACTCTTCACATAGATCTCTTCTTTTTTCTGCCTCTCATTGCTTCCCCTTCTGAACAAAGCCATTATAGTGTTTATAGAGTACTGACCTCAATTGAGGTTCCTCTACAGGGAACATTTTTTTCTTTTTGTTTTCAGAGATTTTTGCTATAGGGTGCATGTGCTTACCGGAGAGACAGAGAGAGAAAAGACGAGAAATCACCTCCCGGGGGAATGGCCACACCGCAATCCTTTCTCCTGCACCTCCTCTCAGAATTTTGGGCACACATATAGATGTTCCTGAGTTTCAAGCCATAGGGTCCTGGACTCAAACCGCAGTTAACCATGTGGGAGTCCAGCGCCTTTACTGCTATGCTACCTGCTGATCTCTGCAGGGAACATTTTTAATGCAATTCCATGTGATTAGATCTGACCTCAAATGTTTTCCATGTACAAGGGGCGAAGTACACATTCTGTGAACAGCACACTCCCAAGTTGAATAGAGTGGCTCTCGGCGCAAACTGATAAACACCTAGTTGAAGTGGTAACTTTTTATTTGGGTGAAGAGACCAATGCACGGGTAGGAAGAAACAGTCTGCTCAGGTTTAGAGGACAGATTTTTTTGTCCTTAAAATGCCAAGGGTTTTTTCTTTTGTCAGTGTTTTTTTGGTTCTATTTTACTTTGCTTATGGTTGCTTATTGCTTATTCCTCAAGCCTTCTATTTACCTCCCTTTCCATGCACCTTTCCCACTCTCCTGGCAAAGTTAGCTATTAGTAAGTCCTCTGTTCCCAAACTTTACGAATATACAACCTTCTGTGTGAGATTTTGGCTTACTCACTTGTTTCCCTCACTAAATGATAAACACCGTAAGAGTTGGGCCCTTTATTTGTAAATATGTGTTTGGTGTGGCAGTAGGCACTTTGGCCAAAAAGGATTCGAGAAATGATTGGGGGGAAAAAGCACTTAGATTTTATTACAATGTGTGAGATGAGTTACTTATAAAAATATCTAGTGCTAATCACTTTTGTCGTATTTTTCTGTTTGACTTTCATTTGGTAATGATTTGCACCTAGAGGACCAAGATATTAAACAAAAACAACAACAAAAAAACACCTTTTGTGGCATTTTCTTAGAAATGGAAGTGGGGGGTGTGTTATGGCATTGCTCCTGGGTCTCTGTAACAGGACCTGGGTTTTTACATGCTGGAAGTAAGGTCATTTGGTTTTATACTACACTAATTACAATAGAATTGTAAGTTCCTACAGTGGCAGTTCCCAAATTTTATTACATAAACAATTACCTGGGTACCATGAATTTCAGTGAATGTAGTTTTTTGGTGGTTTGTTTGATTTTTTTTTTTTTTTTTTTTTTAGTTTGCTATAGGGTGCATGTGCTCGCCAGAGAAAGAGCGAGCGAGCGAGTGAGCAAGAGAGAAGGAAAGTCAGAAATCAACCCCTGGGGGGGATGGTCACTTACAATCCATTCTCCTCTTGATATTTTTGGGCACGAATGCCTAGCATGAGTTTCAAGCTGCCAGGATTTGAACTGGGCAGTCGGCCCTGGGGGATGCAGTCACTTTCACCTGCGTGACCCCTGCAGCCCAAATGTTGTGTTGATTTTCATGGTTTTGGTATAAAACATTTGAAAACCCTCAAGCAAAGACAAATAGAAAGATACAAACTAAAGGCAGATGGGCGGAAGTGCTGAATTAAAGGTTTTCAATCTTCAAGTACATAGCCTGAAAAATTAGTAACTCGGTTTATGATGATTTATATTCCAAAGAGTTAAAAACAACTAATTCTGTGTTTACAGGTGTTCTGGAGGCCTATAACACAAACTTGAGGTGCAGATGTATCCATAGCACGGGAGCGTTGGTCCAGATACGCCAAATTGAACGAATTGAAATCACACCCCCTGGGAATGGTTGTCCAAACAAAGAAATCATGTAAGTTGCAAGAGAACAATAAAGATGATTTCTTTCTTCCAATGGAAAGCAGACCAAACGTTGCAATATAGTATTCCACCCAAGAACCTCAGAGTTACTGTGAGTGTTGCTAAAGTTTTTCAAACAAATGAAGGGTATCAGTAATATGGAAGTACGTTCTTTGCAGCAGCCCTTTGCCCAGTGCTTTACATGTATGCACTCATTCAATTTCTTCCTTCAGGAACTCTATTAAATTACGTTTGTTACCACACCTTTGCAGATGCAGAAACTGAAGCTCCGGGAGGTTAACTCACCTTCAGTGGCACACCATTAGAAAGGGATGGAGCAGGACTCCACCACCATTTTCCTCATTCCAAAAGCTTTTCTTCACAACTTTGCAGCGTCAGGTGCAGTGTCTTTCTCAGAGCAACGATGACGTTAGCTCTTTCCCAGAACTTCTTCAGACGTTTGCAATTTGTCCCATTCTGACACCAGCGCTTTGGGCCTTGGACCAGTAGCATGCCACTTTAAAAAAAAAAAATAAATGTGGGATATCAAAAATATATATGGGCATTTTCATTAAAAGGCATTACAGTTTCACTAATGTCTTTCTTTAATGAAAGTTTTAACTAAACCACAATTATTGCCTTTGAATTCAGAGATGTAAAATCTAGCCATAGCCTATCTTAGAACAACTCTACGGACTGTATAGAAAACTGATTTTTCTTGTGATTGCATTTCCTCTGTCATGGCTCAAGTCTATTTCTCAACCAAGAGAAGAAAACACGCATTCTTTTCTCTGCTTTAATGGTAATCATTATGAAATGATAAAAAACAAAAGTTACTTCATATCTTCTTAACAAATTCTGCATTTCAGATATAGTGAAGAAAGCTGTAAATCCTTAGGATGATTTGCAAATCAAATTCATACCAGTCAGAGGGTGAAAATACCATGAACCCAGACAGTGAGACATCTGTACGACATGAACTCAGAAACCAAACTGGAAGGGTCTGCATGAGGGACAAGTGTTCTGTGACCTCTGACCTCTCAAAGATGCAATTAGAAAGGCAGAGTTTCAAAGGTAGAGGGATGGACCTCGCTATTGTCATTTTAGAGCTAAGAGAAATGAGACATCAGGAAACCGTGCTTTGTTTGAGGTCACACCAGTCGAGAGTAGACGCTTCCAGTTTTCTATCACCTGGGAGACTTATGTTTTCTACTGTAGGAAAGGGCTTGTCACCGGGTCTGATGTTTCATAGCCACTGAGTTCACGCTCACGAAAGCAGCAGCTAACTATGGGCCTGGAGTCAGAATCCCTTCATTTCCACCTTGCTCTTTTCTGCATTTGTTATGCAATCCTGGACAAGGGATTGAAATTCTCCAGGCCTCAAATTTCTCACTGGGAGGTGAGGAAATAACACTTCCTCTAGCACAGGATTTTTGTGAGATGAATTGAGATCCCCTGTGACCTGTCGAGCATAGTATAGTGCCTGGCAAATTAAGTGTGTGATCAATATTAGCTACTCACTACTAATTACTACTGCCTTTTCCGTTCTGTTTAGTTATTTAGAGCAGGGTACACCTTGCTAACGGGGGTTCGATGAAATGCAGATGTTGCTTAGATTAGTCAGCTCTGCAACCTTGTTAACCTTAACCATGTTAAATTTCATCGAATTTTTTTCAGTTGAAAGGTCCTCAAGAGAGTGTTTTCTCTAGCCTATCCTATCCTCCCAAGCTCAATGGACAAGCGCATGTTAAAGATGTTGTGATATAACTTTAGAAATGAGCCAGCCTTGGAGATAACAATTTGGTCCTCTTCCAACTCATGTAAAGATTATCAGCAAAATACTAACCTCTGACATGTAACTTGTCATGTAACATGTCAACTTCGGGTTCCGCTCCCCTGCTCACACATACTGATCTGGAAATAAATGTTTTCTTATTCTTCAGACCGTCTGCTACGAATCATCTCTTCTTGACTCCAAGCTGCCCAACGCCAATTTTACTTCATCTAGGAATAATTATGTTTGTACCTAACCCCCTAAAGGTACGAAGTTGACTACACTGTTACATTGCTTGATCTCTGTTTATTTTTCCTCAGACTCTGGATGAAGAATAAGTCAGTTGTATGTTTGAAACCTCAAACCAAATGGATATACTCGGTCGCAAAACTGATTAAGTAAGTCGGGCACATCAAGGGCTTCCCGTCTCCATTTCTCACTGAAGAGTTTCCCTTTCCTGAGCAGTCAACATGGGCACCATTTTAAATGGATGAGAAGTTCCTAAGACAAATGTCTGGTTTTTGCTGTCATTGCTTATCACCTAGTGGAGGGAGGTGACTCATTCCAGTTCGGTGAACTAAACTGGAAGCCCATATGTAGAATATTCCTTGTTTGCTATCTCCAAGGGAAAAGCTATGGTTTCCAGTGGGTGTTTTTCTAAATATGATTTTTTTTTGTTTTCATTTCACAGAAAAAGTAAGGCTTTATCTCAATAAGCTCCAGCGTTTAAGAGAAACGTTGCCCGATGTCCCTATTACAACTAAGGAAGGATACATGCATTCTCCCCCATGACCACCTTCATACCTGCTCTGGATTTTAGTTTTGTGCTTAGCTAAATTGCCCTACCCAAATAAAAAGAACTACCCTATTCTAAGAGTTGGCATTCTTACTCATCAGGAAGGGAGGTTTCTTCAAGGAAGGTTGTTTATTTATACATCACATAGGCTTTTCTTGCTAACATACCTGTTGTTCAGTGCTAAATTTCCCTTCAAAATAAGGGAATGGGGACCAGCAGTTGGCATAATGGCTACATCACTGGACTCCCATGTAGTCAACCGTGGTTCGAGTCCCGGACCCGGCGACTTAAACTCACGCCAGGCGCGTGTGCGTGCGTGCCCAAGATCCCAAAAGGAGAATGGAGGAGAAGGGATTGCGACATGGCCATCCCCCCTGGGGGGTGATTTCTCGCTTTCTGACTCTCTGTCTCTCACTGTCTTTCTGGCGAGTGCACATGCCCTATAGCAAAAACCTCTCCAAAAAAAGAAAAAAAGAAAGAAAATAAGGGAATGAGGATTTAAAACTCAAATATGAGCATGTGGCTTGAATTAAGAAAAATAAAGAGTATATTTCCATCACTTTACACCTAAGAGAAGCAAGGGTCTGTGAGAGACCCAAAAAGCTACTCAAGGGAACCAGCAGTTAGCGTAATGGCTATGTCGCTGGACTCCCACGTAGTCGACCACGGTTCGCGTCCCAGACCCGGTGGCTTAAAACTCACACCGGGCACGTGTGTGTGTGCCCAAGATCCCGAGAGGACAATGGAGGAGAAGGGATTGCTGCGTGACCATCCCCCCTGAGCGGTGATTTCTTGCTTTCTGTCTCTCTGTCTCTCTCTGTCTGTCTGGCGAGTGCACGCGCCCTATAGTGAAAACCTCTCCAAAAAAAAAAAAAAAGCTACTCAAAAAAACCAATGCCACGTCAGCCTGACGAGAAGCAGAGGGCTCCACGCAGGCGATGCCCTCTGTTTAAAAATCCTCTACCGAGGAGGACGGAGCCCTTCTACTCGGGAAGAGTTCCTTTGTAAGATCAATTGTCTCACATTACAACCAATAACATTTGAGGATCCCCAGACTTAAGTTCATAGAATATTCAGGAAAAACTTAAAACATGATGTATAATATATTCTTTTACACAGTCACCTTGGCACACTTTTTTTCCCACACATCTTCTGCACAGAATTTTTTTAGGGAGGGGAGCCTCTGGTCTCAAATTGTTTCATGTTCCCGATTACTCTAATGCCATTCAATAAACTTAAGCAAACATTTCACTTCATTATGAGCAATGTCTTCTTCAGAGCATTTACTCCAGTTGAGACATCTGGATCGCCATAGTGAAAGCGGGTTTGATCATGTTAACCGTTGCTTCAGTATCACTTGCCTTTTACAGATGACCTGAATTTACATGGTAACCAATGAGTCAAGTAGTTTCTGATATTAACACAGTAGGAAATGCTTGCCTATGGGAGCCCTCTTCCCCTAACGTACTAATCTGGATTTCCTCCAGACCAAACTCTTAGAGGCAAAACTGGTTTTCACTATATCATTACACTGAATCTTAAAGGTGCCACTATTTCATCTGACAAAGTTCTACTTCAGTTTGACAAACAAAAGAGGACACTTAAACCCTGTGCCCTGTCCTTCCGTGGTATTAGCCTAGCTCTCTGAGCACTGCGCTGAGCTCAAGTCCTGTCTGTGTCCTCTAACCTTAACCAGATGCTTGGGGAACCGAGGGATCTAACTCCCCAGTCTACATGTTCAGATTCTCAGCTATATCTGGCTCCCTCTTAAATTTTTCTTTCTTAAAATTTTTTATTTATTTTTATTAAATACACTTTGTAAGGGAATAAAAAGTACCTGTAAATCCTTTATTGTCTCTGGGTACAACTCAATATTTACTTTTTTTAATTACAAAAATATACAGAGACGGGAACCAGCAGTTAGCGTAATGGCTATGTTGCTGGATTCCCACGTAGTCGACCGCGGTTCATGTCCCGGACCCGGTGGCTTAAAACTCACGCCGGGCGCGTGTGCGTGCATGCCCAAGATCCTGAGAGGAGAATGGAGGAGAAGGGATTGCAGCGTGACCATCCCCCCTGGGGGGTGATTTCTCACTTTCTGTCTCTATGTCTCTGTCTGTCTGGCGAGCGCACGCGCCCTACAGTGAAAATCTCTCCAAAAAAAAAATATATATATATATATACAGAGGGAACCAGCAGTTAGCATAATGGCTATGTCGCTGGTCTCTCATGTAGCCAACTGCGGTTCAAGTCCCGGACCCGATGGCTTAAACTCAGCTGGGCGCATGTGCAAGCGTGCCCAAGATCCCAAGAGGAGAAAGAAGAAGGGATTGAGGTGTGGCCATCTCCCCTGGGAGGTGATTTCTCACTTTCTGTCTCTCTGTCTCTCTCTGTCTTTATGGCGAGTGCATATGCCCTGTAGCAAAAACGTCTCCAAAAAAAGAAAAAGAAATACACAGAGATTATAAAATGTCATCAAAGTCCTACATATTACTGTTTTTCAGACTTCAATGTTTATAGATCAGGAATAATTTCTTTTCCTTACTTTTATTTTTATTTTTTCACTCTCTGGAGAGAGACAGAGGGCACGAAGAAAGAGACAGTGAGAGAGGGAAAGTGAGAAGACACCCCCAGGGGAGGTGGTCATGCTGCAATCTCTTCTCCTTGTCCTCTTGGGATTTTGGGTGCGAACATACGGCCAGTGTGACTTTCAGACTGCCAGGGTGGGACTCTGCAGAGTCAGCCATGCGGGATGCAGCTGCCCTAACCTCCCTGCCATCTGCTGGCCCTCGCTTCACTTTCTGTTTGATTTTGGTCATCCTAGAGAATGTAGCTGGACATTCAGGAGCCTCAAATAGGGAGCACTACCATTTCAAATGGGGCAGCTGCTGTTATCGTCCCATTTTATTTCTGTAAAAACTAGAACACAAAGCAGTTCATTTTCTCAAGGCTTACAGCCGATAAACAACAAGCCAAGATTTGAACCCGTGTGACATCAGAGTGCAAGCTTCTGACTGCTACACTACGCTGCCTTTATAGGAGGTAGATACCACCAATAGAAACTGAGGCAAATCGACCTTTACTCGACCTCCATCATATAACAGACAACCCTGAGTTCAAACCTACGGCCATCTGACTCCTGAGTGAATACTCTTTTTTTCTTTTCATTTTTTCCCGAGGACAAACATGCTTCCAAGAGAGGGAA